GTCTCGGGTATGGCCTTCTTCCTCCTTTGAACCATCCATCCACTGGCTCAATCTGGAATATACTTTTCTGGTCTGCTCCAAAGTCACCTTTATTAAGTTTCTCTCCCTTGCAGCTCTAAGCTGCACCTCAGGGTTTTTTTTTTTTTTAATCATAGAAACCCCTTCTAGCAAGGGGTTATATAAGCAAATAGAATGTCTCTTTGACCACTTACTCACCTGGCTCACTTGGGTCAGTAGGAGAGGCAGAAAGGGGAGAATGCACAGGATCTGCAAGATGACAGTGGGACTTCACAGGTATTTTTGTAAAGCACACAATCCAGCTCCAAAGCTACTATAGTGAGGGGGGCAGCAAAATTAACCTGATGAGTGGACACTAAGCAAAGTTATTCAAGCATAGTTCAGTTGCTGTGAGGGCTCAGAGAAGAATTCTAAGATGCATGGGTGAGGATTTGAAATCCCACTTAAAGGTTGTGTCACAGGCTTATCAGCACAAGAAGCATATGTTGCTTTTGGCAAAATGATTTTTAGCAGAAGAGACCAGAGCTTTGAAATGGAATTTTGGAGGTTCATGATAAATTCAGAACAAAAGTCACACCATCCTCACCCAGTGGATTTTGATTCAGTAAAGGACATTTTCTTCACACAGAATGCATTATTTATATATATAAATGTAAAATGCTCCCATTTAGGGCATTCTTTGATCTGAACTCCTAGAAGGGCTTACCATTCATTTAGGGGGTTCAAAAGATGGTGGGATATAGTAAAAATTAGCCTGTTTGTGTTGAAAAATACCAATGCAAAACCACTTCAAGAAATGTTGTTCCCCATAATGGTGGTTACCTCGTCAGCCTTTCACCTTTATTTTGCATTACTGTCTAGTAATTCTGCTTTTTGCCTGGAGCCAAGTCATCAGCCTCATTAGCCTAGCATTAATGAGGTGCATGAAGTTTTGTCAGATGTCTGCAAGTGAAGGGTCACTTTTTGTTTCAGCTACTGTCTGCATGTATCTGCCCATTTACTCTTTTGTTCCAGAACACAGATTGAGCCAAATCAAAGCAGCCACATGTGACATTGTTTTTTTCCTGTTTAGGACACCTCTGCTCTAAATCAAATACTTTCATTTTCTAGCTCACAAATGCAGACCTCCACAGAATAGAACATGGGGTTTAAATACAACTGTTAGTTCTGGTCACATCCCAGTATGATCTGACTGTTCTGTCTGATCCTAAACCTTCTGTATCAGCCAGTACTAAACCCGTCATCATAAATGAGCTTTCTTGTGCTGTGGATAAATATGGTTTGAAAAGACTGTCCAAAGGATTTTTTTTTAAAAAAAGGCTATCCTCTAAGCCATTAGTCCATCACCTATTATAAATCCTGTAACTACAACTGCAGTGCTTCCCAGAGGATAGTTCTTTCAGGGACAACAATGACTTTTAAAAAGGCTTTTGTTAAGCTATTCAGAAGACTCTGAAATTGTAACTGCTTGTTCATCCCAGTGATACTCTCAACGGTTTTGAAGGTTTTGAAGTCCACTGTCTTATGCCTCCTACTGTAAGACCTTCTTTTGTGAATCTATAAACAAGGTCAGCTATATGATCAGACAAGGGAGACTTTATTCAGTCCAAGTCTTAAACCTCCAAAGATGGAGGAATTTAATTTGTACTATCTACTATGACAGTAACTTAGAGTGTATTTACTGTTGCCTCTTTCTTTTACCAAGCAATTTTGTTTATATAAAAACACCAGCTACTTGTACATAGCTAAGTAACTTTCAAAAGTAGTGTTTCTCAATTAGTTTAGATTACCTCACCTTGTTCAGTTAAACCATTTTTTCAGGCAGGTTTTCTGTCCTCTTTATCTATGAATAACACCATTATTCTATTGTTCTTTTATTTCATAAACAGATGACTGTAAAAACTGGTAGTAAGTATTAAGATCATTTATGAAAAAGGGTTTTGTAACAGATGTAGATGCTTTTTATTGCTATTAAGAGCCAATGCATAAAAGAACAGTTAGAGATGGAAGTAAGACAGTAGGCTCATGGTGTAGTTTATGTTGAACCTCAGACAAATGTGTGTACCATGATAATTGTAATACAGGGATTAGAAAGCCTTTCACAGTAAGTATGAGGCTAATTGTATGGCAGAACAGTGCTGTGTATCAGTTTTGCTGATCACCAATTACTATTGGTAACTTTGGACTGCTTTTCCACCACTTTCTGAAAGTGCCCTCAAGAAATTCTAGGGCCTCTTTCATATATAGTGAGATTGATAAACCCTATTTATAAGATCTGTGTTTCAAGTCTTGTGCTTATAAAGTCTGTTTGCTCACCTCTTGAATGACCTTGGTCACTGCAGTTAAAATGGCTGTATAAGCACTACTTACCTTCATGTTTGCACAGGGTCTGACCAAAAAAATACTCCCATATATATAAGGTAGAGAATTAAAATTCTTTAGAGGTGCTCAGTGAGGACATCTTTTATCTCCTAGCATGTTTTCACTGGCTGTGACTGTGTTCTAAGTTTATAGCCCATTCAGTGTGTGCTGGAGCCACATGCTAAAATGGAAGTAATGCTGCAGTAACTACTGTGAATTCAAAATCCAGACAACATATACTTATCCCAGCTTAAAAATTTGGTTTTAAACAGCATTACTTTTAATATAACTTGATCTGAGATTCAAATCCCTTTTAAAATGATGGTTTGTGTACAGGTTCCTACAATACAAACGCTTTAGAGCATTCTCTGTGTTCTTACACTGGAGACATATGTGGACATGGGATATTTCAATTTGGCATATGCTCACCAGTGATGGAAGGAGAGTAAGTGATTCTTGCCCACTAAGTCCTCCTATTTCTGAAGTCAGTCTGGATTGAATAAACACTATTTAAATGCCTAAATGTCCTTGACTTCTTGAAATATATTATCTCTGTTCCTTCTTAAATATTACATATTAAAGTGATTAGTTTTACCAAATTAATAAAATCTAAAAATTTTACAGGCTGGTTGCACACAGGATTTAGTCCAATGTAGACATATTTGTGTTAGCTGAGAGGATTCTTCAGAATGCATTTCCACTGTAGTATCTGAGGCTACTCATATATCAGAAGTTCCCCAGTTGTATAAATATTTCTGAGATTGATAATAGGAATGTTCTTCCAATAGAGTGAGCAAGAGAGATATTGAGAGAATAAAAACATGTATTGGTCAAACTAAAGAGGAAATAATAAAATTATTTTGAAAACTCATTTAAAGAAGTGGAGGGGGAAAATAACGGCTGTAGACTTAAACTAGGACCGTATTTAAAAATTTTTACCACAAATTCAGCTTTCATAGCTTTCAGCTATGTAGATAACACAAAAAAAAATTACTTCCTTAAGAAATACCTGGTTCTAAGAGCCTTTATTTACAAAACAGTCTTTTAAGAAAAGTATCTTTAAAAAATTAGAATTTCCTTCCTCCTCTTCCTGATCAGGCACAAATAATTGACTACACTGGAGAAGCGTTAAAACTACCTTTTTATGAAAATGAATTAATTAACAAATCAGTCCTTTAAAAATACCCCCCCTCACTGAAATACAAATTTTAGAAGGTAACTTCGAACCATCTTGAAGAATAAAGCTTTTTAACTGTGTTTACAGTCTTCACTTTATAGAAGACCCTAAATAAGTGCTTCCTAGCTCTTTTGCCAAATATTACACTTTGGTCTTCAGCCCAAGCCATTTCACAATAATGCATTTCCATTTCCAGAAAGTGAGCCACCTTCCTTTTCCTGCCCTTTTATTACTGTGTCTTCATATGTAGTGTCTTGACTAGTAACTGCCTCTGAAGGTTAGTTTTGAGGAAAGCTGAACCATCTCTATCTTCCCTCTATCCCCATCACTGCTCTCTGCTGAAAAACACAGAAAGGCCTGAGAGAGAATTTTTTTCCTTTCTTAAAAAAAAATGTGTTTGTTTAATATCAGAACCTTTTTTCAGGTTTTTACTCTGAAATTGGTTATTTTTGTAAAAGGTATATTCTAAACTCAGCATCTTCTCTAATGATACTTTGAATTTTTTTATTTTTTACAAAATGCATCTTTTTAATCTTCCACATGGGAAAAATATATCTCATGGAAACACTTCCATATCAAACCATTAAATACTAACTTTACTGCTCTCTAATGAATTTGATGCTAAGTTTATTATCTCAGCTAGAGAAATTTCAAGTCAAGTGGAAGGGTATGTTTGATGCATGAGGGAGGTTTTTTTATTATTAGTTTGCTAAAGTATTTTTCTATTTATTTTTGAACAAGAGGCTTTTTCCATGCTTTACAACTGCAACCTGAAGAGCATACCAAGAAATGAATGGATTATAGTTGTCTATAGATAAGTAACTATTTCTGACAGGCACATAATGTAGCTGAATAAGAACATGGACTACATAGTTTTGCAGATAATTTAAAAATAACAGAGATAGTTCAGCTTCTCAGATTAATTTCTCTCAAATGGGAATAGATGTTGAATATCTAAAGGATTTTTTTTTTACATCACTTACAGGCGACTAAACCAGAGAAAATCCACTGGAATCACGAGGGCCTTTATTTCTGATGTTGTGAGCTGGTTTGCGATTCCTCATTGCCATGATTCTAAAAATAATTCGCCAGGCCTGCGGGTCTTCCCATGTGAAAATACAGTATGGGGACACTTCTCGCAGTCAGGGCTTCTTTCACAGAGACCCCATATCCTGAATGCTTCCGTGACTGATACATTTGCAGTTCAGACTCAACTTTGCTGGAGGTGCGTCCGCCTTTATTTTTATGCCGATGTTTTCTAAGACGAGTCAACTTTTGTTCTCTAATGCTACAGCAAAGACAGGAAAAAATTAGTTCTTTTTTCTTAAGCCAAACGATGGCTTCTTATTCTGGTGTAATAAGCTTCCAGAAATTCCTGCTCTCCCCCTCCTTCTCCACCTTTCATTCTGAGAGACTTGCAACGGACTGGGCTAGGGGGAATCTCGTATTCCGTAATGTTTAGCCGACATTTGTTACTTGCCGGTCAGGGTAACTCACTGAGCGTTTCTAATCTCGCTCATTGCGTTCCTTTGTGTCCCTAATGAGAAATACAATTAATTCGCCGGGGGCTGTTCCCCGGGGACTTCCGTCAGCTGCCGCATCCCTCCAGCCCGGCCATGACGCTCCCCGGTGCCCAGGCCCGAGCCGCTGGCCCTGCAAGGGAAGGGGGCCGGGGCTGGTTGGGGCTGCCCCGCTTCCTCCCGGACAAGGCGGCCACTCCCGCCCGCCCGCTCTCCGTCCCAGCGCGGGTGGCGCACCGCTCCCTTCCCGGCGCAGCCCCTCAGCAGAGCGCGGGACGAGGCAGAGCACCGCTCCCCACAGCTGGGCCACGCCGGGCAGGGTAGGGCCGGGCCG